ACGCACGACGAGGATGAGGGCCTCGGAAGGCCATGTCGACACTTGGCGGGCGGGGCGCGGCGAGCGAAAGCGGCCAAAGAGGCGCCGAAGGAAGCAAGGATAACCTTGGAAAGTCGCCCATCCTCAATATGCGCGTTGACTGAAATCGATATCATAGCTGCGGACTAGAGTTCCCAGACATCTGGCCGCTCCAATTTTTTCGATGCGCGGGCCACGGAGGTCTGGACCACTTCCCTGGGGCCGGTTCTTCGTCCTGAATCGCCTTTTGACGCTCCTGGGGCCTAGCGAGGGCCCCCGGAGGCCGAAAACGGCCCAAAACCGCCCGCTCCAATTTTGTTGAAGCGTCGGATCTCTGGGTCCTCTGGCGGCTGAGGAGGAGCAGAGCCGCCCGGAGCCGCCCGGAGCCGCCCGAGGAATGGAGGGAAGCGGAAAGACTGGCCGCCCTCCCTGGCCCGATCGGCGAAGAGGGTCCTCCGGGGGCCCTCCGGGATGGAGGAGGCCGGGAGGGGAGGAGAGGGGGAGGAAGGAGGAGACAGAGCGTGTGGACTGGCAGCGTTCGAGCGACGAGAAGGAGCGGGTCTTGCGCGAGATGGCATTAGCGACCTTACGCCGCGGCTTACGCGGGCCGCCGGCGCGGCACGCTACATTGGCAACAAGAGCGCCTACACATGACATTCTGCGAACAGCTTGCGCGCCAACAACGGTGGAGCCGATGCCGTCTTTCTGCGTCGCTCACTCGGTGATCGAGGAAATCTTGAAAGAGACACGTCCGCCTCCAGAGCCAACCATTCTAGCCGAGACGCCCCACGGCTGTGTTGATAAGCGACACGCCTGTCTCCAAAAACGAGCGCTCTAGCTGACACGTCCCACGACTCCAAAGCGAACGGGCACGTATCCCTCGCAGAATACGCTATCCATGTCTCCCCAAGTGCCCCCCCGCACCGGCTGAGAAACCCGGAGACTCTCCACATTACGGCCTTTACGATGGCAACAAACGAGAAGGTCCACACATGTGGCTCGC